AGGGAAAATGCAGTCCCTATAGAGAAAGTCTAAATGGCTTTTAAACAATCTGTCTGCCAGAGAAGCAGAGTTTCTAGCAGTATAACTTCTGAAATGAGAAAGTGTCAAGAAGGCAATGAAATATCTGTATTGTCTATGTGTTCTCCCTGAAGCCTCAAGAGTCAGGCTGCAACCTTCTTCTGTGCTTTTTCAAGACACTCTGTTCATCCCAAGCAGAACAATTGTTGAAACCCTTACAAACATGATATTCGAGCAGAAGTGTTAACTAACCAAAAGGTCATGCTTAAATGAGCAAGCCAAGATACTAGATCCCATAATAATCTCTCCTGATGTTAAAAATCTGAGACACAGAACTTAAAAAGGGGTATTGGACACTCTTTTTTTCCAGGAGACTATACCATGAAGCCATGGGCAAACTGCACATAAGCAATCCTCTAAGCTGCAGATAACCAGAGGATTTCAGCTAGAAAATGTCAGGGAGGTGGGCAGGCAGGTGGGAGCAGACAGCTGGTAGGTGTGGGTGCTCATCACTGCTAAGTCAGGGCACTTACTTATGTGCCTACCATTAGCTACTCACACTTTAAAATGTGGGTTTCCATGTGTACAGTCAACATCACGATTTGCATGATGGAAGGTGATACCCCCTTTGCAGAGCTGTCAGTTGCAGAGGGGTGTTTTCTGCAGCAGGCTGCTCGGGCTAATGGGAATGAACGAATGTCCCTCTGTTGCAGGGACTTTGGCCAGTTGGCGGTGGAGCTGTTGGACCAGTCATACAAGCAGGACGAGCAACTGGCAATGAAACTGCTGACCTATGAGCTGAAGAACTGGAGCAACGCCACATGCCTGCAGCTCGCAGTGGCAGCCAAGCACAGGGACTTCATTGCTCACACTTGCAGCCAAATGCTCCTCACAGACATGTGGATGGGTCGTCTCCGGATGCGCAAAAATTCTGGCCTGAAGGTCGGCATTGTTTTAAAATAAAATTAACAGTCACAGAAGGTCTAATAGATGGTGGTGGGGCTCACATCAAATCAGTAATAACTGCCTCAATTAAGCATATTTCAGGTGCTTGTTTGTAATGACATTAGGCAGGGCATATTCTTCCTGTGTTCAGGTTTTCAGCAGGGAGCTTATCACAAACCCAAGTCCAAAGCACATTACTTAGTTTTTTCATCATCTTTCTCAAAGCCCCCTTCGGCATCACATTAAGAATTAAGCCAGGAGGTTAGTATGTCACCCTGCCTGGATACTTGAGGAGTTAGTCAAGTTTTTTTAAAGATAAATAAAGTAAAAGGATGTGTAAGTGAATTAACCACCAGTGAAAGGTGCTGATCCGACGACCTTCTCCAGAACAGGCCAAAGCAAGCAGTACAAATTTTCTTGCAATCCCCTGCCCATCTTTCTGATGACTGACTTGAAGGGACTACCTTAGAGGATCTAGAGGATAATTCAATTTTCAAAGCTTTACTTCCACAGTTAGCAAAATTGCTAACAGAGCAAAGTGAATTCTGGGAGATCAGCTTGTGTCCATGTGCTGGCATCTTTCACCTTCACCAAGGTACTCACCAGTCTGTACCTAACCAGAAACTGCCTCTTCCTCGCAGATGACTGAGAAATATTTTCAGTGAAGGGGTTGTCCCTCCTGCATTAATCATGTGTGTGAAAAGTGGTAATTTCTCAGCTGTTTTGCTGTGTGACAAGACATTTGGTAATGGTGAGAATGCTTATGAGTACATGCATCATTATCGTACTGGGTCTAATCCAGTGACAGTGATGAATGGGAATGAGCGGCTGATAGCATTCTCATCATCCTCCTGCAGGAGCTGTGCATAAATATTGTTCTGCTTACAGACAGAAAGCATTCTCACATTTGGAGACATCTTTACTACCTATTTTTCTGACTTGACTCACAGGTCCATTGCCCTTCAGAGGGACCCCTTGTTCACTGCTTGGCTTTGCAGATATTCAGCCTGGGTAGGCGGTGATCAGTGCAGCAACTCATTTCCCACTGCGTGCTTTCTTGTCTGCAGCATGCATCTCTTAAGCCATAAAATAGACCTTTCTTTCACAATGAATAACTGAAGGTAACAGACTGTTTCCTTTCAGCTTCTTGTAACATCAGGGCTTCACAAGGATCCTGTACTCAGTTTCTAGTCCGTGTTTTATTTCACTGAAGCTCATTAGCAGGGCCTTTTCAAAGCTAAAGCAGACCTCAAGCTACATGAGGAAAAGGCAGCATGGCAAAGAAATGAATTTGCAAGTGTGAGTCATGGATTATTTCCCATGAAAAATTTTGTCCCGTTAAAACAAGCAAATGGCAAGAAGGCTCTTTAGAGTCTCGTTGGGGGTGTATAGCACCAATGGAAGAAGGAGAAGCAATTATTAATCCCGCCTGATCTTAAAAATAGCCTCTCTGGGAATCCAGGTCTGCCTGTAATCCCCTCTCCCTGGCCACATCTTTTTGTGACATGCCGAGTGCAGGAGCAGTGCAGGAAGCCTGGTGCTCAGCTCTTCCGAGGCTGGGTACAGTGTTCATACATGCTAACTGCTCCTAATTGTGGTGCTTTGAGTGGTTTCAACAACACACATGCTGTCTGTTGATATGAAGAGTGCAAGCAGTCACCCAACCTGACCTGCCAAGAAGCTAACTATCTGGTTTCACTGTCATTTAGGGAGAGATTTATAACAAAATCATTTTCCATGAAAGTACAGCGAAATGAGGAAAACCTATTGTGCTTGTGAATACAGAAGGGCTGCTTCTTTTTGTATTATTATATCTCTTCAGTTATACTAGTGATTTAAGCCCAAGCGTTGTTCATTGCGTATATCCACACAACGTATTTTTTATGGTTTCTGCACTCCCATATCATAAGAGAGGGAAGGCAGAAAAGAAAGAGCTGGCATTAACATGCTCATTACACGGCTGCCAGGTTACTGAAGCAAAATCTAAGGGGACTGCATAGCTAACCATATCAGCATTTGTTATTGCTGGCTTTGCCTTATCTCCTCAGATCCACACACACACCTTGACTACCTGTGTGCATTAAGTATGGACACAGCTTGAGACCTATTAACCCTCTCTGTAAAAATTAATACTGCTTGTGTGTCATTTACACTGATATTGTCTATTATGTAAAATGCAGAAATTTGCAGGTCTAAGGTCTGAACATCCCCGTGGTCCCACCTTATGTTATATTTTGTAAATATATTCTGGTATGTAACAGATTTGATGAGCAAGCAGGTAAAATATTCAAGAGGGTCCATTAGCCATAGCACTCACAGCAATGCTAATAGAAGTTACATGCTTTGTTTCACTGTGGAGCTCTGAAAACATTACCCCAAGTGACAAACACTCTATTGTCATAGAAACTCACATGCATGTGTGTCTTTATTTTCCTAAATGGCCCAAGGGAGTTGTTCCATTTGATACTAAGTAATCATCATGATTGTAATCTGTTTACTGTGATGATTATTGTTGTCATTATTATTGCTTTAGGTAATTCTAGGGATTCTACTTCCTCCTTCAATCCTCAGCTTGGAGTTCAAGAACAAAGATGATATGCCTTACATGTCCCAGGCCAATGAGATTCACCTTCAAGAGAAGGAGCCAGAGGAACCAGAGAAACCAGTGAAAGAAAAAGAGGAGGAGGACATGGAACTCACTGTAAGTGCCAACAATAAACCACCAGCCTCAGTGCTGTCAATTTGTTTTGCCACCTCTGTGGGCATTGCAGGCTGTCTGATGGCTAAATTTAGCAGATGATAGGATACCACTCTTAACACTCCGCTCTCCTCAATGGGGCTCAAACCAGACAAGTTGGCATCATTGTGTCTCAATGTTGCAGCAGTGCATGGTGATGCTGAAGCATCATGTTGTGATGTAATATCCTCGTGTTTTGATTGAATTTGATGCCATGCTGTCCGAAATAAATTAATGAGATTTCGGAATTGAGGGCACTCAGCCATGACAGATGAGTGGGCCTCTCTGGTAGAAAAGAAGCTCAATAAGTCTTCCTTTGGGTGGAAATGCCCAAAGATTCATAGAAACTAGAGATTATGTTTTTTCTTTTGGGTAACTTCATTTGAGGGCAAGTAAGTGTGCAAACAGGCAAGAAAAATTATGAAAACATTTTTCAAAATTCTTTATGAATTTGTGGTCATTGCCGCTCACACATACACACATGCAATTTTTAATCCACTCAAGATATTAGCAAGCAGCTGGATGGCTCAGGCCTTACCAAGAGCTTCTGCAGCTCAGCAGAACTGTGTAAGGAAGGACTTGTCTGTATTAGTAACATAGCCTTAGAGGAATAATTTGCACCACAAAGAGAATCAAATAGCTAAAGCTCTGGAAACAATACAAATCACCTGCTTCCAGTCTCTTGTTCTCTGACTTGTTTGACACTTTTTAATTTGGGCAGTTACCATATGAGCTATCAGACCTGCCTTAGCTTAGTTTGGTTTGCTTTGATTTGGGTTTGATTGTGGTGTCTTTGAAAGGCTTAACACTCAACCCCGGTTGGTCAAGGTCAGGATGGAGGCAAAGAAGTAAAAGGGATTTTCCTGGTTAATTTAAAAAAAAAAAAAAACAAACCTGCCCAAAACCAACAAAAACCAAAAAAACCAGACTGTTTCCCACAGGCAAACAGCAGGAGCTGCCCACAGGACCCCGTCTGCAGGCAGGCAGAAGGACCTGCCTACAGGACCCAATATGCAGGCAAGCCGAAGGAGCAGCCCACAAGACCCACCTACAGGACCCGTTTGCAGGCAAGAACCTGGCCGTTGGGAAGGACCAGAAGCCAGAATAGCAGCAATGGGCCATTCTCCGCTCATTAGCTATTAATTGCAATTTACTTTCCTTGGCTTCTGATCCACTTATGAAGTGCCTATTCAAATCAAATAAGCACTTTGCAAACTGCCTTTTTCTTGGCGATGGGGAGAAATTTGGGGAGGAAGTAATTTCCGTCTCTCTGCAGTTATCCCAGCTCCTGGTTTCTTGTCTACAATACTGTGTTTCCTTTTTACCTTCTGACTTCTGCTACAAGGAAGTGATGTGTGAACTGGATCTGCTTTTCCAGAAGAGTCTTAGGTGTTCCCTCCCTTTTCCCTTCCATGTGTTGACAGTCCTATTGCTCTTCCCTGTCATTGACTCTGCCCTTAACTCCTTCAAATTTGATGCATCATTCTAAGTGAAGTTTCAGACACTTACAGCTTTTTTTATAAAACAACTGTTTCTGTGGAGTCCAGAAAGTTTAGAAATATCTTTAGTACACTACTGCTGACCTAATATTTCTGCATATAATCTATACTGGGCTTTAGGACTTCTAACACAGCTTCTTCACTTAGGTGCCCTTCAGTGGTGAGGAGACATGATTTGCTAGCAAAGAGACCTTTGCATATATTTCTGTGGTTAGATGCCATAGCCAGTTATATTTAGTCACTTTCAGGCACCATGTCAGGGAGAGTGTTCCTATATGACATGTTTTAAATATAAGAAAATATTTTAGATTGAAGTTTTGCATTGTTCCAGCCTCAGTAAAATGGTCTGGCATAAGTTAGGGCAAGTCTCTTCTCCACAGATTAGAGGATGCCTGCAAGACTGTTTGGAAAGTGCCTTTGTGAAGTTTGCCTTTAGCCACACTTAAGGATACCTTATTCATAGTTTATTAAGATTAATAATTGATCATGATGTGATATCACAAATGTTTAATCAATTGTTCAATAGATCAGTCACTCACCCTAACCACAGCTCATGACTATTGTATTCAGAATGACCTGCACATTTTTCTCCACGTTTTTTTTTCCTTTCAGAACAAATAAATAGGGGGAGGTTGTGATTACTACAGTTTTACTTTATATTTTTACTTTATATATTTACTTAATTGGCACATGAATCTTTAAAATATTTTCAAAACTTTTCCATGGTTTGGGTTTCTGAGCTTTGTTGAGCTTAAAGCTTAAACAAACAAAAATTATGAACTATAAATCATTTTGGTCACTTCAGAAGTCCATTTCTGGCAAATAATGTATCATCCAATCTGCCTAAGTCTATTTCTAATCACTCCCAATTAATACTTCTCAAGTCTCTGTATTCCTATAATATTACACCCACATGCATTTTTATAAAAGTACTGCTAAGATAAAGAGTTCACATCTAGTCACGGTCTGTTTACGGATTTCTAATGAAGTCTTTTGTGTCCTGCACTGCTAAACCCAGGTGACTAATGATAGGCCAAAAAGAGTCAGTTTCTTCCTCTGGACTGCACTTGTGCAGAGTGGGTGAGGTACAGGGCCACAGTGATTTTTGTGCTATTTTACACCTCATTTGCACAGAATAATGTGATCACACAGACTACAGCAACAGTGAAGTAAGTCTCTGCAAGGGTGCATCTGTATGTGAGTATGTATTTATTTTATGCTCCTCTCAAAGGATCTGGTGGGTAGCTGAACATTTGCATATACTATAAAGATGTAGTGTTTATTCACTGTAAACTACTTGTTGCTGACACCTGCTTTTAACTGTATAACAGATACTTGAGAGTGCTGGGCACACATTTCTTCAACATCTAGACGCTAGGCAACCGACTTTCCTTATAGCAGCTACTCTCAAAATACTGCTTTCCTCACCACTCCCTCAGCAACACAGAATTTACCATAATTTATGCATTGAGCTGCCAGTCATTAATCCTGCATATTAAACATAGACAGGTAGAAGGGCACTAAAACCTAAAGGCCAGGGACAGTTTGTTTTTGTACAATGTCCTGACCTGGGCCTTAATTAGTTCCTGAGGTTTTCATCAGTCAGTAACCACAGCAGTTTACCCTCCTCCCAAAAGAACACTGATTCTGGAGCATTCTTATCCCTTATTCAGTGCCTTATTCTTTGGTATTAGAGTTCCCCAGTAAATGGTCTTATTTCAGAACACAGAATAACTCATTGAAGTCCTTTAGAAGATGTTTCAGTTGTTGTTTTGCTCATTTTGTTCTGATTTTCCACATCAAATAGGAAGTTTGGACTTCCATGGGCATCACTAAGAGTTTGAATCAGGACTTTTCAGGAGCAGCAAAGATAGTTGTGTTGGCCTCTGGGCTCACATTATCTCATCTGTAGTAGGTATGTTTAGCCTTTTCTCCGTGGCAAGAACTAACCAAATATCATATCACTAAAAATACAGTTCTTAAGATGGGAAAGGTTGAAGAGCAGTGTCGTGCCCCTGGCCCATCTCACCCACCCTGCTGGGGGACGGTACTCACAGCATGTCGCATCCAAGCAGCAAGGTTCCCCTTCAGCTTGGCTGGAAAAAGCCAGCGGGAGACACTGCTGGCAGTCACGAAGCAGAAGTTCTGGCCCTCTCCATAAGGAGGGATTTCCCTCCGTTTCTCTGAGGTTTTTGGAAAATACCTATAGCACCACCAGACAACTGCCCAGGCACTCTCCATGTCCTTCACCGCGCTCAGCAGCCAGGATGACTGAGCTCCTGGTACTTTAGCCCTAGTCCTCTGTATTCTCCTTAAAGAATCACTGAGCACATGCAAAATCCAATTTTACACACCTGTAACTCAAAGGCATTAAACTTTTTTTCCTACCAGAACGGTAACCCTAGAACAACTACCATGGAGGCAGCATTTCCATACATAGCGTAGGATACAATGGGATGTGCAGAGAGAAGTGTAGTATATCCACCCAGCTACATACCATTTCCACACCAGTTCTGTGTGCATATGGGGTAAGTCTATCTGTAGCATGTAGATTTCACTAAGGATAAAATTTGAAGAGGCTATGATCATTCAAGCAGGACTGAAATTCCTGTTATATAATTATAAAACAGATAAATATATTAGAGGGTCATTAACATATATTAATGCAAAAATGCGCAACCCAAAATTGTCCTGGTTCCCTATCAGTGAACAATCCTCAATTACATAAAGCGAAATCTGGCCAGAAAAACCCTTAAACCAAAAAACCACACACACACAAAAACCCACCATCCAAAAACCAACCAGAATCCTGATTAGAAAAATCTCCATGTAAAAAATATGCGCACATCAATCCCCTCAAGCTAAAATGATGCAGTTACACTGTACTTTACAATGTAGTTGAGCTGCTGTCGGGTTTACCTTGCATGACTCATGGTGAATCATGGACAAAATTGTGTATTAGAGAAAGAGATGTCACCCACACAGAGCAGTGTCTTGAGTTATTCCCACCCTATTGCTTCCCTCTCCAAGAGAAAACACATTTGTTCACGTTCAGCATTGCAGCTATTCTGTTAACACAGTCACATAACAGTAGGTTATTTCTGTATGTTTCTAATGGGGAGGCTTTTCAATTTGTTAATACTGTGACATAATTAACAGTCAGGGACATCAGGTCAAATCTAATCCCCAGCCATCTCAGAGTAATTCCCCATCTGTAGCATGGGGGAGGTGAGAGGTTAGTAATATATGACACAATTAATTAAAAAATAATTATAACAAGATAAAATTACAGCATCATTATCAACAAGAAAGCAGTGGCAAACAGGAAATCAGCACCCGTGACGTAAAACATAAATCCAGGTACTGAAAAAGCATTATCCTAAAAACATCCACGAGTCCCTGGTTCCACTGAGAGCTAAGGGTATCTCAGAATTAGTAAATTTATAAAATTGTGAATGTTTGAAACTCTGTAAAATAATCCCTTTCACTAAGGCACGGAACTGCTCATTTGTTAAAGCTGCCAGCATTCGTTTTCACCCTGCTGCAAAATTCTTGAGCACCAGAGGACAGCAGAGACAAAGCCTTGGGAAAAGCTACAGAAAACTGTAGCACCAGATGGCAGCTTTCCCTAAGACAGCGTCAGGAGGTAGAGAGAAGCAAAGAAATTAGTACCTTCTTAGGCTATATTTTTCCCGAAGCATTCAGATCATACTCCACTTTTTTCCCAAATAAACAATCCTTGTTATAGATCAGGGAATCACTTAGGTTTTGTAGACTTTAGGTAATGACACCTGGGGTTCTGTGACGGGTGTGTAATTTCTGCTACTAGTTATATTCAGTAAATCTCATGTTCTTGCAGACTATCCGCTTATCTAATAAGAACCCTTCTCCTGTGCTTAATAGCCTCTTCATCTTTTTCATTTTTTTTTATGAAACTCTTGATGGAGTTTTAAGGGGGTTTATGTGCTGTGAGAATCAACAGGAAGTGTATTTAATTTTTTAATATGCATTGTTTTATATATGCTTATGGCAATAAACTTAGAAATCTGCAGGCATAAAAAGGGTAAAGGAAATAGGTAACTTAATCAAAGAGGATCTCAGCAGGTTAGTGTCAGTGCAGTATACTTGTGTCCTGACTCTTTGTTCTATTTTATTAAAAATGCTCAGGTTATCATCTGTGCATAGTCAAATTCAAGGATATAAGGGACCACATGGAAAGTAATACCAGACGAAAAAACTAACTGCAAAAGTGAAATGAAAGAGTAATATTAGGCAAGAGCCATCTAGGACCATACACCGTCCTAATAATGTTACAAATATCTACACTGACTGAAAGAAAAAAAAAATGTGGTCATCAGTTTATCATTACAAATTACTATTTTACAGGACCAAAGACCTATATAAATAGCTCCACATGAGGCCTAGAAAAAGGAAGAAGGGGAAAGACTGTGATTCTTACTTTTAAATATGTGAGAAGTGCATCTCCTGTTCCTGCAGGGCACTAAGAACTAGATCAAATAGCTCACCTGAAGCTGGTTAGTTAAGTATGTGCTGAACATCCTGTTGAATCAGAGAGCACAGAAACAGATAAAAGAAGGACGTCATTACTGAAAGACAATATGCCTGGCATCTATTTGTTCTCTTTAGGGGGTTAGTTTTCCGCATTTTTAAGTTGCAGATGAGAACAATGTTATCTTCGGGGATGGTGAAAGTTTGCTTCAGTTAACATAAAAGTACAAAACTGCTTTGATCTACTTGTAGAAAAACATTATAGAAGCATTTAAATAAAAGCATCATCATGCAATCCCTTCATACTTAGATAGGACAGTTGTATCTCAATTCTTGCAATTGCCTTCATGTGTAGGAATGCTGCAATCTATGGGTGCTGCCACAAACTAAATAGTAAGAACTTTTTCTGGGCACAGTGACTGAAATCCACTCTTCACCAAAGAATTGTTTCAGAAGGAACATTTAATGGTTCATGCTTTACTCTAAATGCAAAGCAACACCTTTTAAGCATTAACTTCAGGGAGTGTATAGCTTAATCATTCCTTCCACCTCTCTGCAGCTGACCGTGAAGTTAAGAGTAAACAAAGTATTACCATCTTTTGCCTGCTAGGTCTGCAATGTTGAGGACTTCTTACATATGTGTTTCTGGAGCTCAGTGTAGTTCTTCAGTGCATCTGAAGTGCAGCAGTAATAGTGAAATCAAGCCTAACAGAGGCAGTGCATGAGCAGTCTGGAACTTCATTATGGAAGAAGCTACCATCATGTCGAAGGATCTTTCAATCCAAGGCCTTAATGCTGCAGTGAACTCTACTGGTCAGTCCTCTACATCCATGTGAAGTTCACTGTGGGATCATTGCCTGTGACAGATCCCATGATCAACATATAAAGAGTCACTGGCTTCATTGCTTCCAGCCCAGCAACTGCCAACTCATTTTTCCCCCTGTTGTTCCCTCTCGGTCTCAGCCTTATGAACTTCTCTTTGTTTAAAACCAAAACTTACCTGTTTTCTGTGTGCATCTGTTTATTGTATAGACGTACACCACAAAAAGCTGTTGTCAGGTAAAAATTTTGCTGTTCATAAAGTGAAAACCAGAAATGTTCTGCACATCTAATTTTTTGTTCACCAAGGATTTCACACTGGTGCTGACAGTTGTTGCCAAAGCATTGCTTTTTCAGTTTACAAAGTATTAAACAGCAGCTTCCCTGCAAAAAAGATAATCTGAGAACAAAGCATTTTACACCTAGCTATGGTCACCTGATTTTGTCTAAAGATCAAGAAATCAGAGAAGTTTTGAATAATTTCCTTTTGAAATTTCATAAAATAGGTTAATTTTTTTTTTCCCCACAAAGAAAGAAACACAAAAATGTCCTTTCTTGTAGGCAATGCTGGGACGAGGGAATGGAGAGTCCTCAAGAAAGAAAGATGAAGAGGAAGTGCAGAGCAGGCACAGACTGATCCCTATTGGAAGAAAGATTTATGAGTTCTACAATGCTCCCATTGTTAAATTTTGGTTTTACACAGTAAGAAATCTTTCTATTGTATTACTGCTGTGTGGACAAATACTGAAATTGGATTAAGGTCATCTTGTGTGTTTCATTGAAAATCTTAATCTGCATGCATTGGAGGGCTTCTTCATAAACAGTTTAATAAAAATCTTTTGTGGAGGTCAGCTAGCACTTGCAAACCTAAGACCTTCTGAGAGTACCATTTCATTCAGGAAGTTAATGGTTAAAATTTGAATGATTCTGTATGTGTTTCTTCAAATACAAAAATAAGTGGCAGTTCACTGCAGTCAGTGCTCCCAAGGAATTCCCTGCAGGAAAATTCCCAAAAGGAGAGCTCCCAGTAGTTAGCCCAATGGGAGGCTGGGCTGAATCAGGATATTGAATTGTATAATAATTGATGAAAAAAAGAAGCAGATAGAGCACATCTTTCCTTGGAACATTTTTTTCTTTGTTCTGTTTTGACTAGTCTGCAGAGTATCTCTCAGAGAAAGTGTTTGTGTAAGTACCCACAAATAACAAAAGACATGAGTAGCAGCTAATATACATTTTTCAGGGAAAAATTATGTCAAATCAGTATAATCTCCCTGTGTTATAAAGAAACAGACCTTGCAGGTGGAGAAAAAAAAATTATGTCATATATTTTGACTAAAGTAAGACAGTATCAAAAAATTTACAGGATATTCTCACAGATAAATTAATAACTGCTATATTAAAGTTACTGTATGGATACAAAGCTTATTGACAATTAGTCCTCGAGAGTAAATATTAATTATTCACTATCAAGATGGAAACTGTGATTGGAAAGGATTTCATTAGGGTGTCTCCTACATCAGGTGCTATTTGATATTTTCATTGAAAACTTGGATGATGGAGTAGAGATTAGTTATTAAATTTGCAAATTGCACTAGAATGTAGAAGGATGAGAACAAAAAGTAAATGAACCCAGAAGGTAATCCTTTCAGTCTCCTTGGCTGGAATATTCTATCCCAGTTCAGCTTCTGCATCATGTGACAAGTATGCACTGGTTTGAAGGACATAAAAAAGAACAAGAAAAATGTTTCAAGAGGTCTGTAAAACATGACTTAAGGAGAAAGATTTAAAGTGATGAGGTTGTTTTCTCTGGAAAAAAAGAAGCCTACAGAAGGAATGTAATAGTCTTCAAATATGTGTAAGTAGCTGCAGAGAGGAACAAAATGGAATAATCTCCAAATCCTTGCTGAATAGGACAAGAAGTAATGGTTTAAATTGCAGCAAGGTAGTTCTAGGTAAGATGTTAGGGAACAGTTTCTAACTGCTCTGAGAAGTACATAAACTGTGTAAGGAGATGGTAGATTTTCCATTATTAGAGATTTCTAAGTCTATCTTATCAAAACGTATGTCCACTATGGTACACTGTAATTAATCCTGCCTCAGCACCATGTAATTGGCCAGATGATTTCAGGTGGTCCTTGCCAGTTATATTTTCCATCATTCTGCTGAATGCACAGCAAATCACAAAGAATGCATCCTTCTGTATATTACTTCTTATAAGAAAAATTGCCTTGCTGAGATCCAGGCAATACGTCTACAGACAGCAGGAACATCTCGCATGAACAGAGACTAAACTGTGGTGGACAGCTTATGCTAGCATATAGTTCCAGTTTGGCAACTTGGAAGAACTATATGCTGAACTGTGTGGTCATTGAACATTAATTAGGCTGATGAGTCTAGAAACTGTTCATCAGTAGCGTAGTATCATTATCAATTGCAATATGTATTATGCATAACCAGAAAAGTCTTTACACTAAATGGAAAGAAGCATCCTGGCTCTCCCTGTTAGTTCAATTCTGAAATGGGAGAAAAAGATCAATATTGCATTTCCATTTAGACCTGTTCCTACAGTTTTATGTCCTGAGGCAGGTCTCAGTCAAGGTCACTTATTAAAAATGGATCTTGGCTACACTGAACTTGAAGAGCAAATTAAGGTGGATTTTGGCTGCAGTGCTTGACCAGTTGGGTATATTGAGAAACTCCTGGAGACTAAAAGCCAAACAACTTTCAGAAAAGGGTTAAAATTACACAACCTATCACACTTTTTACAAGGACATAGGCAGAAATACTAATCATAGATTTAAAAAGAAATCCACCAAATTTTACATTCCACAGTCCAAAATGCAAGAAGAGTGACTATACTTATGGCTACTGTATGGCATTTAAAATAATTTGATTATTCTATATCCACCTATCTGCTATTAGTGTATAGATATATCCACCTACATTCTTGAAATACACAAGAGTGGTTTAAATGTGGGGATGTTTGAGTAAGCAACATTTTGGCTCAGCAGCTGAGCCAAAATAATCAGCTTTTTCTCAACCAAAAAAACTTTTGCCTTTCTCTCTCGACATTCAGTGGTTTCAAAAGTCAGGTACTCTGTTCTGTTTTGTGGCTGTTGCATTGAAAACCATGACTCAAAGGTTTCACCTCACAGATTGCTTGAGGAGGAGAGGATGGCCTTCCCCTTTTAACAACTAGCTTTAGGCTGAGATGCTAGCAGGCTGTAAGAGGCCACATTCCTACCTCTTCGAGGAGGAATAGCTGCAGAGGGAATTGAACCCCAAGTAAGAGTCATCTTCTAAACATCAAAACAGCTCTGCTCTGATTTTTGCGTTTTGGGACCACTTCACTTTATGATCATTTAATTATTGCAATCAGTGAAAATGGCAGCCCCTAGCTCTTTGTCAAGCCATGTAAATCAACAAAAAGAGGGTTCAGCTACTTGTGCAATAGCACTTTCAAAGAATCTTGAGTACCAGAATGGATAGCTGTACTGAGGTTTGACCACAATGTGTGATCAGGACATCCTCCTAGAAGACAGGAGAAAGTTACAGGTCTAGGGAGGGAGAAGGAGGGTGTCACCCACTATGTGCACGGCTTGTTTCTTGGGTAAAAGTGGTGCAGTTTCAGCACTATATTATTCTTAAATCAAGATTTTTTTATTATTTTTTTTTCCCAAGCAAAATTTTCAGCAATTTTCAGTTAATTTGGATTGACAAACAAAAAAAACCAAAAAAAACCCCACCAGACACCTCAAAAGAAAACCAAGAAGCAAACCCCTCTAGTTACACTGAGGGTCTTGTGGTTTCTGTCACCTTTGTGACCTTAATGTCCCTATTGTTTTGCCATACTAACTCCAAATGCTCACCAAAGGCTGCCGAGTCAGACCAAATTAATAATATTTGCTGATAATTAATAATCAGTAAGACCTAAGAGGAGGGGTGTTAGACGACAGTATCATCTGGCTTTTTGCACTATAGTAGAAGGTGGTATTTCAGCTAGGGAGGTGTGCGTCCAGTTCTGCCTGCCCAGACAGTTTCTGCTGACTCAGCTGACACCCCAGATGCTGACCTAGATCAGTATTGCTCTCCATTTCCTTTCGGAGTGTTAAGGGAAGACCAGTCTCTAGGCCTGACTGTTGCAATTCATCATCACGCACAAGCTGAAAGACAAAAGAGATCATTTCCTCTTCTGTTTTAGGTAGACAAGAAGCAGTGGTTCAACTCGTTGTCTCCTCTGTACTGAAAGTTATGGCCAACGTAAATAATTTTCTCGAGTGTCCTTCAAACCAGCAACCGGAAGAAAAGCCAGAACCCTGTGGCTTTCACAGAGAGCAGAAGTGATGTTCTCTAAAAAATACAACAGGACTACAAATCCTGTTCTGTGAGGTGATGAACACTGAAATAATCCTACCCAAAAATCTCAGGGCCCTCTGTTGTTTCATTTCATTTAATCTGACACCAAGTACACAATAGTTGTGAGTAACATGCAGTTGAGAGAGAAAAACTGTACTGACATACAAATGTATGGAATAAGCTTTTTGCCACAATGACTAAAATGTTCATGCACAGAACTGACTCATTTTTCTATGATTTAAATTTGACTTAAGATGCATTTTCTTGAAGAGCTGCTGTTTGAAAGGCAGTGTAGACAGGCAGTTGGATTCTGGCCACCACAGACCCCGGCCACAGCCATTCACCCTTGCTACAGCCTGTGCTCCAGTGTGACATTCGGGTTTCCCTGAGTGTTATGAACTTGATGATGTGATTCGCCTGTCTTGTCTTTTTCTGACTGACCATTACATTACATTCGGCATGTAGAAGGAAAGAAGAAAGAAACTAAAAACATAACCCACTTTCCACAGTATCAAATATTACATCAGAAAGTAGATATATTAGAGAAGGAAAAGCAAAACAGTTATACTTAAAAACTTGCAAAAAATATAAGGCAAAGGAATGCATGGCGATGCCTGGCTACTTGCTGCAGCAATGTGAGTAGGAGTAGCAGTGTTTTGGGGAGGAATCATGGTATGGGTCAGGTCAGTACTGCACTGGGTAGAAAGACCTCTACCAACACCTAGGACCTTCTGGGCTCTAGGCAAGGATTGTACAAAAAGGATTTGTAAGGCCAGAGTCAGCCTAAGCTATGTGAACAGGGAGAAAAAAGACAGAGGAAGGATGTTAGAGGAGTAAAGGGTGCTAGAAGCAGATGGGGAAGAAATCTTCACATAGGTAACTTAGTTTGGTAGTTGGCATAGTGGTACCGGAGTTCCCATCACTGTGGGAAGATCCATGGGGACTGCATTAATACAATATTGTTGGGAAGGCAGATGTAGCTGGAGGAGAGGACGTTTGTGCATGTATTTTCCAGATTCCACACTGCCTGTGATTTAATGTGAGCTTTTTCAGACAACCCAGAACACTGTCTGATTGTTCTTCTGTCTGTTTAACTCTGGGTACAGTGGAATGAGGAATATCAAATCATACCCAAGAAACTGGCTCAGTCATATAAATATAGTGACTATTGATACTCATTTTGTTTTTTTACAGCTGGCATATATAGGCTACTTGATGCTGTTCAATTATATAGTGTTAGTGAAGATGGATCGCTGGCCGTCTACACAGGAATGGATTGTCATCTCGTACATTTTCACTCTGGGAATAGAGAAGATGAGAGAGGTAAAATCACCCCAATCAAGAAAGAACGAATAAAAAAGAAATAAGCGTGGGTTTTTTCATTTTAATACCTATCTTTTTTTTTTTTTTTCCTCAGGATAATTTGATGAATGAGCTTATCATAAAATTGCTTTTTTTTTTCTTTTCTTTTTTTTCCAGAAATGTGGCTAGATTGTTAAAAACACAGCATTAAAAAAAAAAACCCTGTCTTCCTCCATTTTAAAATCAAGAATCTCTCTTTGTTTCTCTTTCCTCCATAGAATTTGTTTGTTCAGATTTCTGTGTGATACACGTTTAATAGCATTGACAAGTATGGTGTGATCTTCTGACATATCTTAAAGCTTGGCTACATTCCTTGAAATGTGGCCCAGAAACCGAAGTATGTTTCAGGGAGAGGAAAAGGAGATATGATATACAAGAATGGACATGGAGACATCGTGATAGCATGACAACTGAAAAGCCATGTTCGAATCCCCAGCACACCCCAAATAGGGTTCATTGAAAATTTACAGGTGCTCTCTCTGTCCAAGTGTCTCATGCAAAGGCCTTAAATAAAACCAGCCATAACTGGGAGAAAATTCAGATCCACATTGAATATTGCAGCACATTTCTAATAGGATTTGCTCCTTTTAATCTTGAAAATTTTTGCTAATTATGTCAAGCAATAGCATGCATGTCCCTAAAGATGCTAAAGCAGACACACAGAGCAGAGACAGAGCATTTAAGGGGGTGCTCAGTCTAGAGGAAGAGTGAAGTTGTTTTGCCATCCCCTGCCCCTCATGGTCTCTCCCACTTGCAGCTACTGCTGTGCTCTTTTCACTTGGCCAAATGCATATTTATTCCACAATGACACCAGAGGCCAAATTCAGCCCTGACGTGAGTGGGTGCGGGTCACGATGACCTCAGCTGAAACAGCACATTTGTACCTCTGGGCTGAATTTGTTACCATCTACGTTTGTATTTTCTGCAGCAAATGCTTTTGAGGACTAGACTAAAAATGGTCTTGCAACAGCCACTTAGACTTCAAAGACAGATTTCAAACACTATATGTTAAACTCTACATTATAAATAAAAAAGAACAGAGGAAAATACACTACTTGTGTGGCCTATAATAAGTGTGCTTTGCTAACCAAAAGAAAAAGGAAAACAGCGGCAGTAACCACAGGAGGACTCTGCAACACTGATAGAGACAAAGCGCCGCTGGCTCAGTAGGTGGGAGGCTGCTGGCAGGAATTGTGTGTGCCATTTTTGTCTAATCATTCACCTCAAATCATCCTTTCCACAAAAGTTTATCAAGAACATTTGTTGGAATGGATTTCTAAGCAGATGTTGGAGATTGTTCACACAAGATGAGCCTAAAATTCATTCTGAAAATGAATTATAAGAAAATTATAAGAATGGCATTCATCTTTTTAAAGAACTGTATGACTCTGCTCAAATGTTCTCAGGCTAAATATAGAAAATTAAAACAAACAGCTTGTTAACTCACTAAAAGCTAGGAATTATTCATAGAAATCACTAGAGGAATAGTTTCAACAGTAATTTGGGAAAACAATCAAGTCTCCCAAATGTTCTCACAAATAGAATGATGATAAATTCATAAGGTAAGATTAATTATTTTTGTGAATTATATTCTCAGCTGTGGAACTTAATTTCCAAAACCAGGTCCAAATAGTAGCTAGTATCTTTCTGGATTAAATGCTAAATCCAGACCTTTATGATTATTAATTATTTTTTGACAGTTTGATACACATTTTAAAATATTTTTTCTTTACATCTACAGCTTCTTTAAATGTGAATTTTCTGATGAAATATCTTTCTGTATTTCTTCCTCTATTCCAAGACTCTAAATAGGGCCAATAAGTTTGAAAAACAGAAAAGTATACATATATTTCTTCTGATTTGATCGGGATTTTAGGGTGAGTGAGGTTTTCATCCTTTTTCTTCTAAGTATCTTGCACATAGGTACAGGCTAAGAATGGTTGAAATTTAAGATTTCTCAAAAAAATCAGAGAGCACGTGAGACATTTATATGATAGGAGTCTATCAGCTTTGCTTTTGGCCTGTGTGGCATATATATGTTTACTATAGATTTCTTCAAGCTTAAATTAAGACAGCTCAGCTCCTTTCCTTTCCATATCCTCTGTTCTTCAGATATTGATGTCAGAGCCCGGGAAACTGTTACAGAAAGTAAAAGTTTGGCTTCAGGAGTACTGGAACGTTACTGATCTCATAGCTATCCTCCTGTTCTCCGTTGGGATGGTGCTCCGTCTGCAAGATCTGCCACTCCGGAGTGATGGTCGAGTGATATACTGTGTTAATATCATTTACTGGTATATACGGTTGTTAGACATCTTCGGAGTAAACAAGTATTTGGGACCATATGTTATGATGATTGGAAAAATGGTAAGAGAAGTTGGTGTACTCCTTCTATGTTTTACCATCATGTTCTTGACTCAATCTTTTTGGCCAATGACATCGTTGCAAATTTATCTGTATTTTTTTTACACAATAACATTTTCATGTAAGCTAGAAATCAGTGCCTCATTGAATCAAAACTTCAGCACAGACCCTTAGAATTGAGATTTAGACTCTGCCTGTTCTATTAGGTGATGTATGGCTTGTCTTTGAGATCTCTCTTCAACAGCAAACCCATCTGTCCTACACCTCTGTGCCTCATTTGCAGAAAATACAAAGGTTGCTAATTCTCAACTAGTTGTAAAAGGAGGGTGGTTTGTTAAGGTTAAAAAAAAAAAAAAAGAGAGAGACTCTCAAAGTGTGTTGTAATAGGTGTGGTATGTTCAAAACAACAATTATGATTAAGACTGTGACCTTTTTAGAGTTTGCTCCATATGCATATGATCCTGCATCCCTTCTGTTCAGGTGTGTCCTTGTGAGATGAGAAATCCATTTGCATAACTGCAGCCTCTGTCCCCTGGCCACATCACGTGTACACAACACGGCAGAAGTATGAATGGTTTATGTAATAGTAAATGCATACAGGAGGAACCAAGCAATATTTGCTACCAGATGTATAACTTCTGACTTTTTGGCTTTTTCCTTTTACGTGTCAGTAGAAATGCTGCATTAAAGCAGCATTTTGCTCGTATGAGTTAAAGAAAATAGCTGAGTTTACAGGTGCACATGCATGTGTCCCTGACATTTGAGTAACCTGCACGTGTAACTAATACACGTGCTCTTGTTTTGCATGCAGTTATCCAGTCTTTGTTGTGTAAATCATGGCTGTTTCATGCATTCTGGGATTTAAGATTTATTTTTAAAAAATAGGCTAAAAACCCATTGAAGCTAGCATTCAGTAAAAAACCTAAACCTAGTATTAACTTTTCTAAATACAAATATTATTGCTGTGTGATTGCTATGTGGACAATAATTGGCTAGTCCAAATAGGCTGTCTGTTGTGTTTGCCTTACCATGGGCCTTAAAGAAATGAACCAGCCACCCTCCTTCTTCACCATCATAGGAAAAAGGGACATACCTGAATACATGGACTTACAATCACTCCTTGATATTACATTAGTCACAACAAGCTCAGTGATTCTAAGCAGATATAAAACTGAAATGCAAAATATATGTCCAGTTAGGGTCCCTACCCAACAGGTAACCAGACAACTGGAGGTAACTGTAAAAAGACAGCAAGACAAAAGGAAAGACCTAAGACCAAAGGGAAAACACTGTGTTGTCATCTGTTTCTTTCTTGCCCCACCTGGACTATGTCCCTCCATCAGGGGATCTGGTGGTCTGGTGGGGCTTGCACATCACACAGTGTGTAGAACTCCTAGACACCAACTACATTTCTGCTCTGTTGGATTTTTCACAGATGCCATGCACAAAATGTTTCAGAGCTGTGGTGCTAGCAAAGGTGGTCTGAAAACCAATTCAATAATAAACGGACTGGCACAAATAACAAACTTCTAGTAGTGAGTGTTACGGATGGCTGATAGGAGCCCAGCTTCACCAATAGTATAAACAGCAGTTTATTTTTCACCTGGGGTCAACACAGAAAGGAAGTGGTTCAACTCAGTAAAATAATATTATTTTCATTCCTTTGTCATCCTTACATGTGTACAACAAATCAAGCCTCACTCTACTTTCTGTGCAAAACAAATACAGGGAAATCACTAGCCTCTGTAGGCCCAGCACCCACTCAGAGGGCCTTCAATTTAGCTACCAGAGTGCTCTGAAGATGTGGGCAACTGTTGAAGGAGGGAAGTTCTTTTATTTTGTGCCTTCCTGTTATTTGATTTTCACACCTCATCCAACTTTCCATGCACTCAGCAACTCTGACACATTCACTTTGCCCACATATGCAATGCCCAACTGGTTTGAGTTACACAAATTTGCCTCTCGCATCTATTTTCTGGCCAACTTATTCCCCTGTGTGATGGCCAGGCCATTTATATCATACACAGGCTTCCCTGGGAGTTGCACCTGCTTATTCCAGGCTGCAGTGGGATCCCTTGTGTATTTTTGTTTAAATCACATGTCCATTTACCTCCTTGGGTTCTGCCTTTTTCATTTCATGGTCTTGCAAATACTGTTCAGTACTATGGAGGACATTAAGCTGGTTTTATGTATTTCTACAGAGTAAGCCCATCACAGCTACTGAGTTCCTCAACAGACCATATTTAACGCCTCAGCTTTCATCCTGAGCTTCTATTGTAAGTTTTACACTCAGGAGGAAAAAGACAACTCTTTCCATCTTTCCAACGTCACGGAACTTCCTCTTCACCTGCCTCTGCAACGTATCCAACAAAATAGCTGTCAGAGGTTTTACCTCTGGGCACTGTGAACAAATAAGCAAGTGAAACTAAGCAAAGGGCAAGAATGGGGTTGAGAAGTTTAAAAGCAATGGGCTAAAGCAAAGGTGAAGATAGGAGCAGGAAGCCGAATGGCTGAGTTTATTATTATCTACTAATTTCAGCAACAGAATATGCTCATTATAATGTGCTTCTCTGATCTCTGTGCAGTGACAGATTTACTCCCCTTTTATTGGGGAATGAACTGAAATCACTGTGGCATGTCAGGAGTGTCAGAGGCAGATCAGGTCCCTTACTGTGTGGGAATGTATACATTTTCTCAGCTTCTCTGCAAATAAAAAAGGGGAAATGGAGCCAACTCATTTATAAAACTGCACCAACAGTTCCTCGTTTTATCACTTTTTTAAATAGGTGACTAATGAGTTCCTCAGAATGATTGAAATGGCCCATTGCCTTGTTAAAATAGCAATTGTAATTTGACCCTACAGGCCACAGGGCCCCAATAAAATGTCCATTAGAGACAGTGGAAACTCGCCCATCTCTTTCACTGGGTTTCAGACAAGCTACTGAGGTTTCAGAAAGATACCTAATTGAAGGAGGGAAAAGCTAATAGGCAGCTTGAATAGAGACTAGTACTGAAGAATTTATTTCTTGCAACATGAGGTCAAACCTCTGTGATTCCTGATCAAAAACACTGGAACCATTTGAGAAATTGTCTTAAATTGCAACCAAATACTCATTATGTTTATTTGCTTGCATGACTTTTAAAATAGGTATTATATTACATTGTATCGTGTTATATATCTCTGCCTGAAACAAAGTTTCATCAGAAAAGAAAGGAGGAACCAGGTTTCATCTCCAAATTTCTTCCCTAAAAGCCGTAAGAACTAAATGAAATTGTGCAGCTTGTCCATTTAAGGATGCTCTCTGAGGTACAATGATCTGGAATTCCTCTTCAATCAGGTTTTCTTGAGAGATAAATGCTGTGAATAACATAGGAATGTTGATGATTTACTTGTCTGGTTTTTAATTCTTTAAGGCATTTATTTTCCTCTCTCATGTCCTCAGGGGTTTTTTTTCTTTCTTTCCTGCATTTTTATGGACCTCAAGAGTTTTGTTTTCCCCTACTGTTTTTCACTTGTCCCCAGTTCCTTCCTTCCAAATCCTTGAGTCTCTCCTACCAGAGCCCTGCCTTACAGGTTTCTTTCTCCTACAATCTCGCTCTCAGTAAATACGAGAATATCCTGTTACATTTGCTTCTCCGTACTCCTCTCTTTTCTCTGCTAGATACTTTCCCAGGGTTACTTTGACTTCAGGTCTCTCTCCTTGTGCTTTAAAACTGAAGAATCCCCATGGCAGCACCAGATTCATCCACCACAAATGAGTCCCCTCATCCACCAGCTCCTGCCATGAGCAACCATGCTCTTGAGCTGCAGCAGGTTGCCCGCGGAGCGATAAGGCCACTGGCTGAGGTGCAGGTTGGTTGCACACCTTCCTCACAGGGAAGGCAGAATGTAGCTCAGCCAGAACATGCAGAGGTTGAAGGGATTAAAACTCAGAAGGTTTAGAGCAGTTCTGGGTTGAGTTTTGGGTCACATTTTGACCAGAGGCAAAAGTTATATCCAAAGCTGTCAGAAACAGCTTTGTCATAGCAAGCCTTATAACTAAAGACCTGTAAGTAAACGTGTAACTAAAGGTTGTAAAGGGATCTTAGAAGTGACTTTACAGGACTCCCATTGTTTTCACATTCATTTTGAGTTATAAAGTGTCTCTGCTGTACCTGCTTGATGCCCATTGCTCTGCTCTTTGGAGGGTCTTTTCTAGCACAGCTTCTCTCCTAATCTTCAGCCTCTATTCAGCACCAGCTAGGATTGCTGTCCCACTTTTTCCAGGAACATTTTGAATGGGTAGGCACTGTTTGCAAGCACTAATTAAACTTGTGCATATGCTAATGAGGCCTTCAACAATGGAGAAGAATAGAGTTTAGTGTCTGTGTTATCTGCAATTTGTTTTTTTTTAAATATGGCCTTTGTCACACTCCTCCACCAAGCTGATTTCTAGTCCAGGCAGTATCACAGCTTTCCTTTTTCACTGGCTACCACCATGGTGTCCCTTATGTTGCAGTAACAGGCTGTTCTGCCACCCGTTACTCCTTATGTTAGATGCAGCTTCCTTCCTCTGCTCCAAGATAATGACTACCAGTGAATAAAATAATCCATGTCAGCCCTTTTGTTTTGGTACAGTTGCCACTAGGTGCCTATAAACAATACATCATCTCGCAACCCTTGCCCAGACCAGGCTGCTGATTCCAGTGAACCTATATTCTTGTTCAGGCAACTGGTGTGACCAGATGGTATCTTGTCTTTTCAAGCCTATTCATAACATTGAAGTTGTTCTTAAAAGCAACACCGGCTAAAACTAAGGACACAATAATACCACATCATTCTTTGTAAATTGAATTTGTTATGTGTAAAACTGAGAATGGCTTTTCAAAATTTGTTTTTGAAAATTCTGTTTCTAAGATTTACAAACTTTTTTTGCAGCATATAATAATAAGAGCATGGACAAATAAGTTCCTCTAATTGTTTTCCCTTCTCTCTTTCTCTCTGTTTTCCTGTCCTTACATTCAGATGATAGACATGATGTACTTTGTTATCATCATGTTGGTGGTTCTGATGAGCTTTGGTGTCGCAAGACAGGCTATTCTCTTCCCCAATGAGGAGCCTTCGTGGAAGCTGGCGAAAAACATTTTTTACATGCCTTATTGGATGATCTATGGGGAAGTGTTTGCAGACCAGATAGACCGTAAGCAAGTTTATGATTCTCATACTCCAAAGTCAGGTATCCAACTTTGATCAGATGATGTTCTATTAGATTATGTGTGTGTGCTCAATAAATGGCTCAGGATAGAGGAACTCCTTCTTCACAGAGAATGGTCACGAAAATATTTTTTCAGCAAATATTGGGAGATCAGTTTCAGAACATGTTTCTGGCATCACTTTGCAATTGTTTAACCAAAAATCTGTAATGCTAAATTACCTTGCATATGAAGAATGTTTTAAAAGGTTTCTTTTTACCAGTTGGGTGACAGGGATACCCTCACAGGTATCTACCATGAGTTCAATGGTATACTTGGAACATAAAAATCACTTCTTTTTTTCTCATCCATTGGTTTGATTTTAGACCTAAATACTTTTTTACCTAACCTCATACTGACCATCAAGTCTAATAATACTGGGTTAGACCTTCTGCTCTTCATGAGAATCTAATCCAATGTGTTTTCTTTTTTCTGTTACCTTCTCACTGCCACCTTATGCCAAACCACGTGATGCAATTCTTGGGGGATAGTAGATCCACTATTAGAATTTTGCTTTATTTATTCATTCATTGGAAGGCAAGACTGTGCTAACATCAGTGCAAACAGAACAAAAGCCACTATTTCATGACCTGTCTCCTCAGGATTCACTTGGTTGGTGATCAGGAAAACGCCACTTCTCTATTTAAATTAAACCTCCTGGTGCCACCCAGTGCATTACGCCAAAGGAGAGGGGTGGTCATAAGAAATGATGTGGTAGATGAACAAAGAATCACAAACAATGTATCTTTAGCAAACACTGACATGCAACTGATGTTAATCATTCCTACTTAAATATGTGCAAGCCTTGGCAGCATTTAGAAGTGAGTACCTTTTCCAGTGGCAGATGGCATCCATTAAAGCTTTGTTTAGGATATTCCTGTGTACCGCCTTAGGAAAGGGCAGTGTTTTCATAATTTAGCTTCTGCTTGTTCAATATTGACCAAGTTTGAATGGAAAAAAATGTTGATTTTGCCTGAGCTCGTTAAGGTAAGAAATGTATCTATATCACCAATAATGCCCCCAACTTAGTGTTTCAGATGGACAGAGGTGTACATAGCACATGGCAGATATTTCAGCAGTTCCATGTTCATTTCTTCCTCCTGGTTAGCACAGAATCATTACTGTGGAAATAGATGAAAGCTCTTTTTTATGTTTACTTCTCCACTTTGTTTTCAGAGGCAGCATGGCATGCAAGGAAGTAAACAAATACCTAAAATCACAAAGCTTCTCACTGAGTTTAGCTTTTTACCTTGTTCCCTCATTTTTATCCTTTTTCCTTTTCTTTTCTCTTTAAAAATTCATTTCATTCCAAAGGCATAATAGCTGGGGTTATAAAACTTCATCTTGCTCCAAAAGTATAATAGAGGGATAAAGGTTTATCCCATTAAACTGTGTCTTCCTTCCACAAGCAGAATTCTGTCTGTCCCTCTACAAGTGGCCATTTATTGATGTTGTACTAAGTAACTACCACAGTGCAACAAACTTGGCAATTGGCTGAATAAAAAGTTCTCGGTATTTTTTTTAATGAAGTGCTGATTATAGTTTAGAACCCCGAAACCTGAGAAATTAAAGTGTCTTTGAATGAAGTATGGGTTTTAAGTGTGAAAAGAGGGTGGCAGGCTCCATACCCTTGCATGAGGATTGAGGGACAGTCTTGTGTGTTACTCAGATGCCCAACATTTAAACACTGCAAAAAGATGCACCGTAATTACTTCTGAGGCTTAGGGAAAGTAAAATTCCTGATGGTTTCAACTCTAGCTATAAGTGTGGACATGTTGTTGTTCTGTCTGCGTCAAGGAAACTAGGAGTTGCGGCAAAAGTGGTGATGCCAAAATGAAAAGCAGCACCTAGTTCCTCCTTCCTGAGAGACAGATGATGCAGGGAATTAGAATCTGCCACTCTTTCAGCACAAAATATGTTCAATATGTCATGTCTGTCTGAGGCTCGGTTGTCTCAAAAATGTTACCTCTGGAATAGACTGGGAGCATGAGCAACTGGTTCGTGATGTTGTTACACAATAAAAATTACCTGATTGGCACCCAAAAGGTTTTACTAGTATACTTGCATTTTTTCACAATTTGGAAATTTGTTGTTACATATATTTTCCAAGTTGTTCTAAGCTAAATCAGCCACTGTATTCATGTTAGAGTATTACAACATTTGTACTTTCTCAAATACGATAAACATGTTCTCAAATTGTTATCTAAACTGCAATTGAACTTAATAGAACGGAGCAGATTTTTTTAATTACTATTATTTTAGCAAATAACAAGGGTTTCTTTGTTGTTTTCTTTATATTTTGGTGTTTAATATTGCAAAATTATTTGCAAGTTTGGGATTCGGCAAAAGTGCTGATCTTGGAAGTGCACATACATTTGAGCCACGTTCCTGGAGATTATCCTAGTGTCTGAGAAATGTACAAAAAAAAGTATGATACTCTAAAATTTCTAGCTTTGTTTTGTTTTGTGTTTGGTTTTTCTTAATTTGATTTGTGAAGCATGCCATTAAGGCTGACCAGATACAATGTCTGGATCCATCTCATCAGCTGGCAGCCTGTCCATCCAGTGGGTCTACTCTGAGTTTTATCTTAACACACTGCACTGTTAAAACACTAGCTAAATGCCTCGCTTTAAAATAAAGCATGTCTTATACATTTACATGTTTTACCCATGATTTCTGTATTCTTTTAATTTCATTTTTTAAATACATGTATTAACTGGAGTGTGCATTAGTGTCCTGTAGGCATGTGATCTCACCTTCAGCTCAAAAGTGGGGATAGAATTGTATCCTCACTTCTGGGAATATGAATACACTATTCAGGGGTGGTGTTTATTTTCAGTGATGTATGTAAATACTACATTGCTACAAATTCCTGATTATCAACCAATTGTAAGGGGGCGGGGAAGGGGAGGGGGAAGCAGAGTAAATCTTTTCAAATTGCAAAATTCAGGTAAATTCAATAAAAAGAGCAAAACCAGTCTCAAAGTAGATCCTCTCAGGCTGACAGTTCATCACAGCCACGTTTGCTGGGGGAGGAAGAGGAATCTGTGTCAGGGAACTGGTGATGGTGTATGCAACTGTCTCACTTTCAGGCTGTGTTTCTTAATCCACTTGAGCCTTGTGCTGTCGGAGGGGATGCACGGGGCAGCAGCCAGCCACTTAGCTGCTTTAGTGAATGCATGTCTGGAAGGAAATCCACAAACCACTGTAAAAATCTCTCCCTCAGTTCACCTCACTTATTCTGGCAATTTTAGCCAAAAAATGCACAACACAGTTGTCACATGCAAAGAACTTTGTTTTCACCTTGCCAAGCTATCTGGCCCTCCAGAAGACTGTGGGTACAGAAGTATATAAGAAATACTGAAGAGGAAGGAATTATACAGGGAGTGAGTTTACTTGGTAAAAAACATAGATAGATGACATAAATTGCAACATGAGAAATGGCAGTCACCTGTAGAAAATAAGCAACAGACCACACATTTTCCTATATTCAGAAGGCAAAGCAACTGAGCCAACACGGGTTTGGGTTTTTTGGTTTGGGCTGTTTTTCAGATTTGCCTGGTGTCTCACATGTCAGATTTGCATCTGGATTTTCTTTCCAGCTGACAGCATTTCAAGTGCCATCTGGAATCTGAAGATCAGTCTGAGTTGTGTTTGTTCCTTGTGCCTACTCCCTTAATGGAAAAACCTACATAGTTTAAGAGAAAAAGATGGGTCCTCCTTCTCTTTCACTTGTATTGGAGGACTGCCAAGTAACCCAAATGCAGTTGTTTCAGAAGATGAGAGACAATTATACACAGGTCTTCACTATCCAGTGAACTTAAGAGGAAAAAATAATTACTAGAAAAGACATTTTTAAAATTCTTTAAATTTCTTTGTCTATTAGATTTTTTTTTAAAAATTCTCAAAGGTTTCTTAGTATAAATGAAAATTTTATGCTAAATTATATACAATCTTAGAGGTTTTATACTTTTCATGTCTCCATAGGAGCTTCCTGTAAGGGCTGTCATTTGCATGGATCACTCTGGAATCAGAACAAACAGAGCAGCTTTGCACAAAACAGAATAAATCATACCTGTGTTGGTTTTTCAGTTTGGATTTTGGGTTTTGGTTGCCTTTTTTTTTTTTTTTTAATGTGTATTGCAGTTCTGCAGAAGGCAATATTTTTAGCATTGTTAGACAAAGGCAGAGGATGAAATTTGTGCACAGCCCACACATCATTTTGAAAGTCTTTCTGCTCTGAATTGCAGTAGTATTTCCCTTCCTAGCACTCCTCTGAGGTTATATTTTGGGTTCCATTTAGCTGAATATTTTTAATGTCGGTGGGGAGGAGGATGGAGAAAGCACTAGAGAGAACAAGAACAATACAGAGATTTACTATAAATTTTGATTAAAATACCAGCTGATTGGAAAGATGTTTCAAAGTCATTTTTAGTGTGGCTGAGGGCAAGAAGCAACATGTAAGATCATGATGTTGTAGTTAAAGCAACTTTCCTGAACTAATGAGACACTGTTGAATTCCCTGGACGTTTCTGCTGATGAACAGAGCAATGGTGTGAGATTCAGAGTTCCCAGGGTTCAGTGTTTTCTCTGTCAGTGAAGAAGTGGACAGCCCTAGGCAGCTCACTTACCCTTTTTTCAATATTTACCAGCCTGGCAAACTGGTAAAGTTGCTTAGACATTTCATTAAAAAAATTATAAAATGCTTTCAGATCCTTTGAGTTCAGTGCAGATCAAAATCGGAAGATGCCTATATACTCATAAACAGGGTGATCAAAGTGCATTTAAAATGTGCAGGCTTGAATTAAAAAAAAAAAAAAAAAAAAAGATGGGTTGGTTTGTTAGTTAATACACTTACTGGTTTCCCTATTCATTATAATTGTGATCATATGAACCTATTCCATAGTTTCTTGTGATTTCAAACAAATCAACTTCTATTGTAAAAGTGGTATCCATTTTTATGTGAGAAGCTTTCATCAAAGGC